GCTCCGACAATCCTCTTACCTCACATCCATCCCCCCAAATAGCTGGGACTACAGACACCTGCCACAATGCCCAACTAGTTTGCTCTATTTTATTTATTTATGTATTATTTATTTATTTTTATTTGAGACAGTCTCACTTTTTCTCCATAGTGGTGTGATTTCTGTTCTAATTTTGTTCTTTTGCACTTTTTTCTGTCATAGCTCACAGCAACCTCAAACTTTTGGGCTCAAGCGATTCTTCTTGCCGCAGCCTCCCAAGTAGCTGGGACTACAGGTGCCTGCCACAATGCCCAGCTATTTTTAGAGATAGCATCTTGTTCTGGCTGAGGCTGTTCTCCAACCTGTGACCTCAGCAATCCAGCCACCTCGGCCTCCTAGAGTGCTATGATTACAGGCCTGAGCCACCGCGCCTGGCCTGTTTTTTCTATTTTTAGTGGAGACAGGGTCTTGCTTTTGTCCAGGCTGAGCTCACAGGCTTGAACCACTGCACCCAGCCAGGACCTGTTATTTAATATTTACTAAGTAATACTACATTAAGCACTAGGTATGTACTTCAGAATTTATATGCTAATAGGAAAGACAGACAATAAACAAATATGAATGAACTGTAATGAATATTATTAAAAGTGTGAAAAATGGCCAGGCATGGTGACATACACCTGTAATCTCTGTAGTCTCAGAGGCTGAGACAGGTGGATTGCTTGAGCTCAGGAATTCGCGATCAGCCTGAGCAATAGCAAGAGGATTGCTTGAGTCCAGAGGCTGCTGTGGGCTATAATGCCAAGGCACTTTAGTCAGAGACTCTGTCTCAAAAAAAAAAAAAAAAAAAAAAATGTGAAAAATGAAGTGTAATGTGACAGAGTGATCAGGAAGACCATTTAGATAAAGCCTAGGAAAGACCTCTTTGAGAAGGTAGCTTTTGAGTAAAAAGAAACTCCAATAAAGTGAAGGAAAAGGCCACTGGATATCTGCAGAAAAGAGCATTTTGGACAGAGAGAAGTATGCTTGGCGTGTTCAGAGAACATGTGGCTGGAAGAGCACAATAGGAAGAGTTCTAAGAGATGAGGAATCTGGTTTTGAAAAGTCCTGTAGGCCAAGGTAAATATCTAAGACTTTTTCCTAGTGTGACAGGAATCCCTCAGATTGTGAAAAGCTCACCTAGGCTGTTGGGTGAGGCATTAAGTTTAAGAGAGAAAGCAGGGAGACCTATTTGGGAGGCTACCATGGCCCATTCAAGGAAAGAGTATAGGGGGTTGGCCCCAGGTGACAGCATGGGGAGATAAATTAAGGATATATTTTTTAAAGTAGAGAAAACAGTATGCTCACAGATTGTACACAAAATGTGAGAAAATGAGTTGTTCTAAGTTCCAACATTAACTCTAAAGCCTCAGCACCTATAAATGGCAGGTCCATTTATTGAGATGAGGAACATTGGGAAAACAGGTGTGTATGTGTGATTGTTGTGGGGGGTGGGTCAGAAACATTTTAAGTTTGAAATACCTGACTTCTAAGTCAAGATGGCAAATAAGCAATTGGATAATAAGCCAATTATTCAGGGGAAACACTGGGGCTGGATATATACATTTTGGATCATGCGCATATAGATGGTATTTAGAGCTATTAAAGAGGATGAAAACACTCAGGAAGTGACCGGGAAAAGAGCTGAGAAATGTACCCGAAATTCTCCAACAGATACTATGAAGACGATCTAGCAGAGCAGCCTCCAGAAGACCAGGGAGGTGGGAGGAAAACCATGAGCGACTCCTAGAGGAGAAGTGAAGAAAAGTGTTTGGAGGAGAAAGTAATCAAGTGTGAGAGGTCAAATGCGATGAGGACTGAAAATTGCCCACTAGACCTGGTAACGTAGGGATTAATGGTGACCTTGGTGAGTGGGGTATTAAACCTTGGCAGAATGGGCTGGAGAGAATGTGGGAGGTGGAGAAGTAGAAACTGTCAGTACAGATGTCTCTGTAAAGTTCTGCTATGAAGAAAAACAGATACAGGAGAGTAGCTGAAGGTAGATGAGAGCAAAAACAAGTATTTTTCCCCAAATGTCACTAGCACATATTTGGTAGTGATTTAGCATAGAGAAAAATGTAAATTATGGAGGAGAAAAGCAATAATTATAGTTTTTCTGTTGGTGAGAATGGGATTCTCAAGTAGAGGGGTTGGCCTTACATGGACCTGCCAACGATGCATTCATAAACACAGAACGTAAGGCACAGTGTGAAGGCAGGCACGACGTTGTATGTGGTGATGGGAAGATGAGCAACTTCTTTTCTGGTTGATTTTAGTTTCGCAGTTATATAAGCAAGGTCATTAACAGAAGGTGAGGAAGGAATATTCAAGATTTGATGAGAAGAAAAGAAAGGTGAAGAGAACCGTATTCATCCCATGGAGTTATGACATTATGTTAGTGCAAAGACCCCTTAGAAAAAGTTTAGTACTCAAATATTACTATTGACTGAAATGAAAAAATGTAAACTATAACTGTATTTAGAGAACTGTTAATGGCCATGACTAACATCAATAACCATTAAGAGAGCAGAGCTGAGTTTGAGCACATCAACCTTGACAAAAAGAATGTTTGAAAAAGAATCTAAGTTCCAAAATTATATGACTGGAACTTCCTTATATATAACACAACTGAGTTAATTCCTGAATGCAACGTCAGCCTCCAAATTTCTCAAAGACTTTACTCTCATTAACATTTCCCCAGCCCCTTCTTATACATGTATTAACACTTAGTGCAAAAAAAAAAGGAAGTATACTTACCTTCCATTAAAATTTTAATTTCAGGACCTATTTTAACTATTGAAATTGTGTTCTTTTCAAGGACAGATAACACAGCACATGTAAGGTGCCTGGAGTGGTGACCAGCACATAGTAAATAATCAACAAATTGTGGCTGTGATATTAGCAGTATTGTTATTAGTAACAACACTGCTTTTAATTACAGGCTTGCCGTTTTTCTGACCTCTTATTGGAGGCATAGTCCAAATTAACCCTGCAAATTCACCCATTAGTGAGAAATAAATGTTTAAAGGAAGAGAGCCCTAAATATTAGGGTATATCTGGTATATTCAAAAATCCTATACAAATGCCCCTCAACTTATGATAGGGTTATATATATCCCAATGAACACATTCACTATAAGGTAAAAATGCCCTTAAGTTGAAAACGCAATATACCTACCCTACCTTAAACATGCTGAACTTGTATTAGCCTACAGTCAGGCAAAATCATCTGGCAACACAGTACACTGAGTATTGTTCATCCTCACGACTGCATGACTGACCTGGAGTTGTGGGGCCTGTTGCTGCTGCCGCCAACATCATTATTGCTTTCCACTGAACACGTTGCTTTGTACCATTGTAAGGTTGAAGATCTTAAGTTGAACCATCATAAATCAAGGACTTTGTGTAACGTAATGACTTTAGCTCGGTTTAGATTTTTTCCCTCTAGAATATTCTGGAGTACACATTTTGTACACCAGTATGCTATTTAAAAAATGTATCATGAATTATGAATACAAATGTTCAAGTAATAAGTTCTGGGAGGTAAAACTCAAAAAAGTGTGGAGGTCCTTCTAGAGTTTTTAACTCTGAGGCTTGTTCACATGAAGCCTCCAGCAATTTTTTTTTTTTTTTTTGAGTCACTCTGTCACCCTGGGTAGTGCTGTGGCATCATCATAACTCACAGCAACCTCAAATTCTTTGGGCTCAAGAGATCTTCTTGCCTCAGCCTCCTGAGTCATTGGGACTAAAGGTGCCTGCCACTATGACTGGCTAGTTTTCTTTTTTTGTTTTTCTACTTTTAGTAGACTCAGGGGTGGTCTCAAACTCCTGAGTTCAAGCAATCTACCTGCCTTGGCCTCCCAGAGTGCTAGGATTACAGGCCTGAGCCAACATGCCTGGCCTCAATAATTTGTCAATTATAGTTTAAGCATTATTTGTGGGTTTTCTGCTCTGCTAGGTTATGATTCTCTGCAATTGCCAAGTCCGTCTCACCAATTTTTGGGATAGTAGTTTGCCCTGTGACCTTAACACTGATAGATCCAAGAAGAGTTGTTGGTTTTTCAGTTTTTCAGTTTTTAATTGTTAGGACAGAGCTGATTTCCAAGATCCTTACATGGTGGACCAGAAACTAGGTGTCTACCATTTTTTAATAAATTTTCTTCATTAAGACTTCAAGTATCAGTTCGGCGCCTGTGGCTCAAGCGGCTAAGG